AAAAAAGAAAAAAAAATGTAGTGCAATAAAAAAAAACAGGCTCCCTCCTCAAACAGCTGAAGCCCCAGAGTGGGGTGTGTGGGGTGTGTGGGGTGTGTGTGTGTGTGTGTGTGTGTGTGTGGTTCCAGAAATTAAACCCAGGGACTCGTGAAAGCTATACCCCCAGCCATTTAAAACTTTTTTTTTTTTTTTTTTAAATTTTGAGACATGGGCTGGCTAACTCATTAAGTTGCTTGGTCTTGAGATCTTTCTGCCTCAGCCTCCTGGGTAGTTGCGATTCCAGGTATGGACCATCTTGCCTGCCTCACAGGTTTAAGACCCAATCTTTGCTCTAAAAGAGGCTTATGAAAGCCTAGTGGTGCACACTTGTAATCCCAGCACTCTGGAGGCTGAGGCAGGAGGATCACTGTGAGTTCAAGGTCAGCCTGAACTGCGTGGCAAGACCCTGCCTCAAAAAGACAAAGAAAAAAAAAAAGAGGCCTATAAGGAACCAGAACTAGACACACAGGTATTTGGGATGAAGGCAGAAGTGGCAACATGTGGACTCAGAGCATTCCCTGGGATACAGAGTAAATGTCCATAAATTCCAAGTAAGCCAGAAAGGCTTCAGAGGAGGAGGAGTTACTAGCCATGGAGGCACAGGGAGGGGAGGTGGTACCTGGGATGAAGGTAGCCTGAAGAAGTCTGTGGTTGGCGATGCACCTCTCTGGGCTCCTCTAGTTTCATCATCAGATGTCCTGGCTCAGAAACTAGCATTCTGGGGCCTGGGAGGATAGGGTCCTGGAATCCACTTGCTTCCCTAGAGTTTCCAAAGCCTGAGGCTGAACCCCAGTATCACAAAACAGCACAAAGCAAAACAAATTTTTTTAAAACGAACAAATCAGAAAGTGCTATACAACGTTAAATCCTTAAAGGACCCGCAAAGGGGCTCTGTGATGTCACTCCATGAAGCATATCAAAAGAGATTTAGTGGGAGTGGCACGCACAGTCCAACTTTACTAATTCCAGCTGTCAATTTTCTCACTGTAAGACAGAAGTAATCCCACAAACCCACTGGTTGTCACTGGCATCAGAGAGATCAGCACTGTGCTAGGGGTAGGGAAGACTGGGAGCTACTTGTTTATGTTGTTGTTGAACTAGGAATTGAACCCCAGGGCCTTACACTGAGATGCAGCCCTAGCCAGGCTTTTTTTTTTTTTTTTTTTTTTTTGGTGGAAGCAAGTATTGAACTCAGGCGCTTGCTTGCACTTGCCAGGGAAGCACTTATTCTACTGAGCCATCTCCCTGGCTCCTAGCCAGCCTTTTTATTTGATTTTGGTTTGTTTGTTTGTTTGTTTTGCGGTACCAGCAATCAAATTTAGGATCTTGTACTAGCCTAGCAGGCAGGCACCTGTGCCACTGAGCTGTATCCCCATCCCTGTTTGTTTATTTATTTATTTATTGAGAAAAGGTCTCATGAGATTGTTTGGGCTGGGTTCAAATGTGATCCTTGGGGCTGGTGAGATGGCTCAGTGGTCTAAAGCACCTACTTAGAACAAGCTAAGCCAAGCAAAGCACAGGGACCGCGGTTCAATCCCCCAGCACCACATGACAGCCCGCCCACCCCCTGGTGGGCTGAGCTGGCCACACACTAACTAAATAACTAACTAAATAAATATCTTTTTTTAAAAAAGTGATCCTTGGGGCTGGGGAGATAGCTCAGTAGAATAAGCACTTGCCTGGCACGTGCAAGGGCCTGAGTTCAATTCCCGGTTCCGAAAAAAAAAAAAAAAAAACCTTGTGATCCTCCTGCCTCAGCCTCTGAGACTGCTGGGATTTCAGGTATTGGCCACCACGCTCTGCTTGTTTGTACACCAGTCCTTTTATGTCTTTTGAATTATCTCAGTGAAGCCCTTCCAAGACACTCCATGTAAAGCTAACAATTTCTTCTGGCGTCCTAGTGCGTTTTAATTACAGACAGTCTCAGTGAGATAAGCAAGGTTTCAGTCCTGGTTCCACCATTTATTGGCTGCTTCATCATTGGTCAGTTTCTCAGTCACCCTCAGCCTACCTCCTGCCATAAAAGGGGAGTGATGGCTTCTCTGTCACAGGATTACTTGGGGGTTGAAGCATGATAATGTGTATCTAGTACATTGTTGGGGCCTCGTGTCACGCCCACCAGTGCTTAGGCAAGAGCTTGAGTTCCTTGAAGGAAATGTCTTGCTCACGTTCAGCGGCCTCATATCCTTGTCAAGAGGCTGGCCCCCTCCATTCAGAGTTCCTGTTTTTCTAGGAAGCTCTGGCAAGGATTTAGAAGGGCAGGGACATCACTTCCTACTCATTCCGTTGAGCTCATTCACTTCCTCCAGTTAGTTCATTCCCCACCTGGGCTGGTGTGTGTTAGGCAGTTGCTCCTCTGCTGAGCCATATCCGCAGGCATCTCCTGCGCACTTCTCCACCTGCCTCTGTCTGTCTGGCCAGGCTCAGAGCCCCCGCTCCTCCCTATTTTTCTCTGAAGACCCAGTAGAAGCCTCTTGTTTTTTCTTCTCCTTTTTTTTTTTTTTTAAATTATTATTTTAAGTTTCCAGGTTGGCCTTGAATTTGAAATCCTCCTGCTTCAGCCTTTCTATAGCTAGGATAACAGCTACCATACCCACTTCACAGTTTGGCCTTCTTACTCTCCTTCCTTTTCTCAGTACAGGGGACCCAACCCACAGCCTTTTATTTCTTTTTTAATTTTCAAAAATAAAAATAAAGGGGCCAGGGAGATAGTGCAGTAGAATAAGCATTTCCCTGGCAAGTGCAAGGGCCTAAGTTCAATCCCTGGTTCTGCAAAAATAAATAAATAAATAAATAAATAAATAAATAAGACCAGTGAGATAGCCCAGCAGACTAAGAGCCTGCTTAAGCAAGCGCAGGGACAGTGGTTCGATCCCTCGTACCAAATGCTGCGCCAGCCTCACCCCTCAAGCACACTGAGCCAGCGATTCAGTCCGGGTGTGGCAGCTTAGGCCTGTAATGCCAGCGCCAGGGAGGCTGAAAACAGGAGGATCACTACAAGTCTGAGCAGTATAGTGAGACCCTGTGCAAAAATACATAAATTTTAAAAATAAAATAAGGTCTTATATAAATATCTATATTATTACCCGGGCTTGCCAGGCATGATGATGCAGGCCTGTGATCCCAACACTTGGGAGGCTGAAGCAGGAGGATTAATCTGAGTGCAAAACAAGCCTGAACTGCATAGCCAGGCCCTGTCTCAAACAACAACAACAAATCCCCAACTATAACAACATAAAGCCAATTAGGTCTAGAAGCAAGTTTGAGGGCCGGGGAGATGGCTCAGTGGAATAAGCACTTTCCTGGCAAGCGCAAGGGCCTGAGTTCAATCCCCGGTTCCGCAAAACAAAACAAAACAAAAAACACAAGCAAACTAGAAGCAAGTCTGTTATTTTGTGTGTGTATGTGTGTCTTTTTTTCAGAGAGGTTCTCACTATGTAGTTCAGTTTGGACTTGAGCTCACTTTGTAGCCCAGGTCGGTCTTGAACTCACAATGATCTCTTGCCTCAGCCTCCCGAATGCTGGGGTTACAGGAGTGTGCCACCATGCCTGGCTTAATTTGTTGCAATTTTGTCTTCTGGTGAAATATATATATATATATATATATATATATATATATATATATGACAGGATCTCATACATTTCATTTCAGGCTGGCCTGGAACTCACTATCGACCCCAAGCTGGCCTCAAACTCCCAGTGATCCTCCTGCTTCCAAAGTGCTGCACCTACAGGTACGTACCACCACACCTAGCATGATAAAGTATATTTTATTTAAGCTTCTTAGGGCTGGGGTTATAACTCAGTGACACAGTGCCTGATTAGCAAGGACAAATCCTGAGTTTGATTCCTGGTTAAAAAAAAAAAAAAAAAAATCCTGTATTTAAGCTTCTTTCTTATAGTGATCTCCTAAATGACTGTGCTTTTTCTTTTCTTTTCTTTTCTTTTAATTTTTATTTATTTATTTGTGTGTGTGTGTGTGTGTGTGTGTGTGTGTGTGTGTGTGTGTATGTGTGTGTGTGGCCAGCTCAGCCCACCAGGGGGCGAGGCTGGCTGGCATGTGGTGCTGGAGGATTGAACTGCGGTCCCTGTGCTTTGCTAAGCTTGTTCTAAGTAGGTGCTCTAGACCACTGAGCCATCTCACCAGCCCTTTTCTTTGTATGTGTGTGTGTGTGTGTGCTTTTCTTTTT